ATCTCTTCCCCCCCCCCCCCCCCGCCCCGAAAAAAAGATTTTGAAGAAAAAAACCTACAGCACAAGCCCAGGCTTTGATGATGAATAGTATCTGGTCACATCAAGGGTTACCTAAAACTAAACACCTTCCCTTTGAGAAAGCACTATAGACCATCATACAGCTTACAAATGCATAGCCCAAGTAAACACAAATGACTCACGTTTGAGGTTGTGATGGGTCATCTCCCAGAGAAACGCTCTCCCCTTGGATTTCATTGAAGCACTTCTCACAGAAATGATACCTGTCAGCAAGAAGGCCATATTTGGGTGAACTGCTCCGTCCACACAACACAGCCCAAGCCAAGCAACGGAGCCACCAATCACAGCAGGCCAAGGAAGGGACAGGAGCAGAGAGCAGGTCATCAACGGCGACAAGGATATTCAATGATGCAGATTTATGGGCCCCACATTGTATTTGGTTGGTTTGTTTTTTTTGATTTTTTTTTTTTTTTTTTTTTTTTTTTTTTACAAAACAATGACAAGCATGAGGAAAAATAAAAAAAATGAGACACACACAAAGAAATGGGGGTTGGCAGGACAAAAACAAAAACACAGAAGCAGGACAAGACAACACAAAGCAGAAAGCCAAGGCAAAGCACAGATTAGCATTAAATCTCTCAAATGGGTTCACAAGCAGCAAATGATTAAAGCAAATCAAACACAAGTATTACATTTGAGCATACCCATACCCTCTTCATTTTAATAATCCATGCCATGTACAGCAAAGATTTAAAATGAGAAAGGGGAAAGAGCAGAGGGAAGGAAAAACTGCTACTCTGACTTGTACATCAGCACAGCAGTTCTGTTGGCAGGAGATCAATGGAAGAGGTAGTCTTCCATCTTAAATGTATAAATGCTGAAAGGCCACAGGATTCTGTCCCAGTTGAAAAGGAAAGCTAAACATCAGAAGCTTCAAGAACAATAAAATCTGTCCTCAAAACTACATTAATTTTAGAATTGGCAAACTGTACGTTAACTAAATACCTGACATTAACTACATACATAATGCTCTACATTGACAGGATTCTGCCATAGCCCAGTTTGAAAGCAGAACAATCCAGGCGTCAATGCAGCAAGCATTATAGAGAAATATTTCACTTATACTTGAATAAAAGTGATTAATTCAAGATTCTACCCCAGCCCTCAAAAATGTTCTGAAACTGTGGCTTCTCTGTTACTAAGGCATGTTAATTGAGTACACAAGACATCTAAAGAAATAAAATTCAAACAAATTTATTACAGTCACGCAAACCAACATTATAGCAGCTGTTAAGCTAAAAAGACAGGTCTCTTAATCCTCTCTCTCAGTTGTCATCTGAAATAATGCAGAGAATAGTACAGTACTTCTGGAATTGTACATTTCAGTCTATAGAATATCTGCATGTGTGTATATAGCATAATTTACAAGTCACATGTATGCACCTGTTATAGTGCAAACATTCCTTTCAGATTTTTGAATAAGAGTCTTTTGGTGCATCTAGTGCTTGCTCATAGATAAATATAAGCAGAAGATACTGACATGATATGAAAAGTTCTACACTATGTAAGCCTAAAAATACAACAGTTATTATGGGATACTACAAGCTTACTTTCTACTTCTTCACTCCTATAAACCTCCATTCACTGCTATAAACCTTTATGAAGCCTAAGAAGGTTAAGATATAACTCCTGTAGCCCTTTGGTTGCTTTCACCTGACCAGGTGCTTAAGAAAACTAAAATTCTTGCAAAATCTTCTTGGCTTTCAGATAAAAGGCTTAGTGGTTTTGTTAGTTTTGTGGGTTTTGTGTTTGTTTTGGGGGTTTTTTTGTTGTTTGTTGTAAGGTGTTCGAAAGAATGGAGATCAGCAACTAAATCGATGGAGATGACATAATTTGGAGGTAATCAGCTCTCTGCTCTAACAAGTGCATCCTGATGACAGGTCAGAGGATCTAGGAGTGTTGAAGAGTGTATTTCCCTGCTTCTTCCTGCCTCACTTCCCCAACTGGCAGAGATACCTAGCAAGAAGCCTTCTTTTAGAAGTCAAATTGTTTTAAATCCTTTAAAAAAAAACCCAATGAAAAAAAAAAAAGTCAAAATAGCTGTAGAAGTCACAGCATTTTACAGAGCTGCTGACAGCTACTTCAAGACAACTCCCTTAAGGAAACGTGGAGAAAAAGCAAGCATCAATCTACTCAAATCTGAATACACAAATCTTCCAATGAAGTTTGTTCTTCAGTGTTAACGTCATGAGAAAAAACGAAGACTTGCCAAGTATAATATGTATTACGAGCATTAATATACTTGCTTCATAGTTTACTCAGTGTTCTGCATGAAAAATACAGCTGCTTGGCAGGAAGCAAAGACAACAGACTTGTTTATATGATTTGTAGATAACGGAAGATTTAATTAACTGCAGGATAAAAATTTAGTAAAATTTCACAGTTCTGCAAGCAAAAGACAACGACCAGAGGCTGCAGTGAACTTTTGCAGAAAGAAATCATTAATGTACAAAATAAACTATTCAAGGGCACTTCCAGCAATTTTTTTTTTTTTTCTTAAAACACAAAGGTGTACACATAGAAAGAGGGTGTATATGTAAATACATGCATGCCTTTCAACAGACTGATTGCAGCATGCGCAAAATCACACCAAGTCAGTTCTCCTTACCTGTTCTGGTAACTGTAGTAAGTGGCATCTCGAGGGATTGTGCATAGCTGTTTGCCATAGCAACACAAAGTCTGTGGCGAGAACTCCAACTGCAAAGAGGAATGGGAATGGGTCATCTCAGTACTCATATGTGTTTTCCACTTGCTCTCTCCTTGGGAAGCAAGCGTGACCCAGACAATGACCATTTCCACCATATTCTGTGCACAGATCTCACAGTGCAGCAAGTGTATAAAGTGCTAGAGTCATAAAAAATATTCAGCGGGCTGTTATTCTCAAACGAGCTCTTTTCCAAAGATGGAAAGCATATCAAAATAAGACAATGGAAATACACAGTCTCATTATACAGTGAAATACAGAGCCCTTCTGCAGTAACAAAATCACATCTGTTTAATTTGCAATAGCAAATGGGTTCGTCCTAATCAAAATAAGCCTTCAGTAACTGACTTTTTCCCCCAAAAAGGCTTATATACAAATACACGATTTAAGCACTAGACAGAATTAGAAGATCTATAAAAACATCAAAATCAGATTACTCAGGACTGCTAAATCCTGATAAGTTTTCAAAATTCTTGACACACTGGAATTGCTAACTGCAACTGCTGGATTTTTTCCCCTTCAATACCAGGAAGCAAGTATCAGATTAAAATATTTATTTTCTTACCTTTCTTCCACAGCAATAACCAAGGCTCTGCATAACTGGGTCAATTTCTTGCTCAAACACCTCTGCCAGTTTGGAACAGTACTTATATACCCTGGATGTTTTGCGGTTATACAGCCAGGCATTATTGAACATGAGCCAGATGTCATCTACATATTGCCACGGTTCCTGATACTGTCCTGTGTCTAGCTTCCTCTTGATAGTAGAAAGGTCCATGGGATTCTTCACTATGTCAAAATAATCCTGGAAGAATACGCAGCATATCAAAACACTACTACAGAACTGTGTTGTGACATGACAGCATGTGCATTCTCAGCATATAAATTCTTCTGCAGTACATCAAGAAAAACAGGTTCCTCCTTGAATTGACTGTCAAACTGCTTGTGACACATAATGAAATCTAAGTAATACCATATGACTCCCCAGTGCTTCCTTTTCATTATTCTTTTATTTCTCAGGCTCTGTTGCTCTTCCATTCCTGATGAAATAAAGCCACTCTAGTTTTAAGTCAGCAAAACAAGTATTACAAAAAGTACAAAATGGCCATTTTTTTGCAGCCACTATGATCTGAGGATATATACAAGAGCATTAATAGAAAGTGACTGTTTTTAGTAGACCAGACAACCTAATAAACAAAAAGAAGTAACTTTATTAGATTATAAAAGAGATTGTCTCCTCTAAAAGATGCTTTTTCCAATACCCCACATCAGTTATAGAACCACTTCTCCTACAAAGTCCGCAGAACATGACAGCTAATTGAAAGCTTGTTAAAGAGTATTAGCAACATTTATGCCTGCTTATAATACAGCAGGCCTTGCATTTTTGCAGTATCTAGCCTAAAAAACCTCATACCAAAAGCAAACAAAAAACTTTTCAGGCAAAAAAAGTTGCCCAAATCACCTAAGCAGGACTTCCATGTATAAATATTTGTGTATAAATAGCAAACTTGTGTGGTCAATCCAGAGATTTTAAAACACAGATCCCTGAAGGATAGTAATACTTCTGAAGACAATTCTAAAACAAGCAGGAAACTCGACCTAAAATAAAACTAAAAGCTGAACAATCTCTTCCTTGCTTAGAAACAGATTAATAATAATTGATGGATTTTTTTTAAGTGGTCTTGACCTGCTTGATTTCCTACATATTCAGCTAAGTTTTATATATGATGAGAAACATCTATGTAATTGAGCAACAGAAGCATCAAAACATGAAGCAACATCCATAAAAAGTCCAAAGAGCACTGAGGATCTGTTGGTAAAGTGTATGGTATACCTGCTTATTTACCACAAGAAACACAGAGTCAAACAAACTTTTGGAAAAAAACCCAAAAAAACCCTTCCTAAGTCAGAGATTGAATGTTCCACTGCCTAAGCTAAACCTCTTCAAATACATCAATATAAAAATGTTAACAAGACAGACTTAAGCTATTCTTCAACATGTATGTCATAATATAGTAGTTTTAAATTAAGAGACACTCACAGGAATTCCTAGTAGCTGGGGATCCACAGGCTGTCGAAATGGAAGAGACTCTGGATCCTGACGGTAAAGTGCCTCCAGTGTTGGCATAAGCGCCTGCCGCAACTCTTCTGGCTTGAAAACTTCAGAAAAACAATCAACATTAGAAAGATAGCAGAAACAGCTGTAAGGAACCTGCTGGAAAATGTGAGGTCTGTGGAAAAAAACTACAGACAATGGGTTTAAGTTACTTAGCATGGCTTGTTTATCCTCTGCAAGGCTGAGTTCTGAGGAAGATATTAAAATGATCACCTGGACACAAGGAGATGGCCAAAATATTACAGAGAATATTGTTTTTATCACAGGAAGACACAGCTCAATTTAACAGGGCCAGTTTACATTCCAGATACGGCCCCTCTGAGGTCCCAAGAAAAAACGTGTCTAGAAAATCTGTAACTGAGGAACATTTCAAATCTCTATTGTATTGACAATTTTACTAAGGCTTAATGTCTAATACTAAAGCCTTAAAGAACTTGCCCAAAGCCAATTACAATCACATGCATTATAAGATATTTTTGTCCAAAAGCCACAAAGAACAATCCATATAAGCCTACTGAGTTCCAATGAAGAAAGCTCGGGTTGTTTTTTTTTTTTTTTACACAAAGCCTTCTCTAGGGAGATGCTGTGAATTTCAGTCAGAACAGTGTTCCTGCTTACTTTTTTTCTTAGATTGCCCAGCTGCCGGAGAAGACTGCGTTGCTGGAGTGGTAGGTCTTTCTTCCCCCTCTGGCACTTCAGTCTTCACTTCAGATTTCTTCTCCTCTTGCTCCATTGGGTCTGGTTTACACTCCTCCACGACCGGTTCTACTTTAACCTGGAAAGTAGTTTGGAGCCTGTCACTTAGTCTCCTGGGATGTCACCCATCCACATTTCTGTCTTTTAAACCTACCTGCCATCCTGCCCACCACTCTTCCCTAGGATTAAGGGTATTCTACTTTGTAGTCAAAACACTTCCCTAAACTTGAGCAGACGTGCTAAAACACATCTTTAAACACTGCACTAGTAGCAATGATAACCAGTTCTGAGTTGCAAGCAGACACACAGGTACTCATCCAGCTCTTCAGGGAGGTCCGAGTCTCTCGTACTCTGGGGCTGCCAGGAAGATGCTACGGGCAGCCACACTCCTAGCTGTCCTCAGTGACAAGTTATCACAGCCCAGTCAAGCAGCCCATTATGTACATATAGAATCATTTAGGTTGGAAAAGACCTTTAAGATCATGGAGTCCAACCATAAACCTAATACTGCCAAGTCCACCACTAAACCATGTCCCTAAGCACCTCATCTACACATCTTTTAAATACCTCCAGGGATGGTCCCTCTGCCACTTCCTTGGGCAGCCTGTCCCAATGCTTGATAACCCTTTCAAGTGAAGAAATTTTTCTTAATATTCAATCTAAACTTCCCCTGGCACAACTTGAGGGGTTGTTTCCTCTCATCCTAGTATCTGCTACTGTAACATTTAACAGCTGCCAATAATGTGTAGGACTGACCCGAGTTCCCTCTTACACTACCATTTACCAGAAAACCACATAGCTGCAACTACATTATCATGGTCTTTCCTGTGGTCACTGGCTTCTACCACCACTTCACCAGAAAAGAGACCCTTCTTTAGGAAGAAGTAGAGGAAGACAACAATTAAAATAGCAGCAGCAGGTAGTGCCTACAGTTCTCACTGAACTCTGGAAAGAATGGCTTCCATAGAGACAGAAAGCATCTAACAGCACTAAACAAAGATATTCTACCCAACAACTGGCTGGCAATTTCACCTCAGATTTGTCCTCCATTTGCAGCTCTGTCTGTTCTGGTTCCCCTTCATCTGTTTTAATATCCATTTTCACTTCCTGCAAGGGTGGCTGCTGCTGCTCTGGAACAGTCTGCTGAGAGTTCACCTCTGTGCTGCTGGTGGATGGGGGGTTGGATACCTGCCCATCAATGCTTACACCTGGCTGTGAAAGCTGAAGGAACAAAACACACGTTACAAACAGGCTTCTACTGAACTTATTTTTCTTTCTCTAATCTATTTTTTACTTACACTACTTTCCACTAATTTTAAATGCACTCTAGTCCTTCTGCTTGCTTCACCTGAAGAACATACTGCTATACAACTCCAATTATAGAAGAACATGTCACAGAAACACTGGAAGGACTAGTATACAGAAAATTACATACTGTTTCTCTATTGTACGCTACCACTATGCATATGCAGACATAACTAAGACCTCATCCCTGTTTCACAGTGAATTTCAAAGCATGCACTAGAATTCTGAAAAATACTCCCTCTCTGGAAACACCAGATGATCTATAGATTTGTCTTGATGGAAAAAAGGTTACTTCCCAAATGTAAAAAACCCTATTGTGATATTAAACATGCTAGGAGGTACCTCCATTATCACAGATTTGCACCAAAATAAAAGACCAACTGAAAATTAAACCGTACACTTGAGCATTTGCAGGGAAAGTACAATTAAAGTATTTCCTTACAGGTGTTGTGGGGTGCTGAGGCTGCAGCGGTGCTGTTGGTGTGGGAACAGATGCAGTCGTGCTCTGCTGTGACAAGGGCTGCTGCTGTTGCTCTGCAGAAGGGGTAACTGGCACTGGAGGCTGGACTTGTGGAGGCAGCTGTGCCTGTGGAGGTGTTGGAGTCTGCCTTTGAGGGGGGTGCATAGTTTGCGGCTGTGGTCCAGGTGGCATTGCCTGAGGAGTAGGTGTAGGTGCAGTAGTGGCAGCTGCTGCTGCCTGCTGTTGCTGTGATCCCAAGCCTGGGGGTGTGTGGTGAGGTGTTGGGGTTCGGCTAGGTACTGGAGAAGGAGAATTTCGGTGCATGGGAGGCTGTGGAAGAGGTGGGCAATGAATATGACTCCCTTGAGAACCTGGAGCCATTGCAGGAGAATTCACAGGACAGGAAGCACTTGTCATTTGTGCCTGTGGGAAAACAAGTACACATTTGCAACGACTTGAAATAAAAAAGCAAGAGAAATTACTGTTAAAAGGCTGCTTTCCCACAGTTACTGGTATACTTTTAAGAATGTGACAAACTATCTGTTTTGTTTTTAAAGAACTTTATTTCAAAAGGAAAAATGCTCTATTTGATTTATTTTGCTCCACACGAACATAAAGCTGTTTCATGATTTATTCAGTTCTAAAAGAGAAGTTTCAACTGGGTAACTTATACTTGTTGCTATATTTAAAGAATGGCACACCTACACTCCCAGTTCACAAAACATTTCTTTCTAAAACTACAGATTTGCACATCCTGAATATGGGACAATGCACCACAGTGGAAAATTGCATTCAAATACACTTAGTGTGCCCATACCCCCACACCCAAGACTAGAAACTGAATTTATCAACAGAAATAAGTACAGGCGTAACTGTACAGTTACTAAATTACAAAAAAAATGTACTGGTCAAGGAAAAAAGCTGTCACTCCACAATAATCTTGCCTGCAAACTAGGAAGAAGCATCAACGAGAAGCAAACTGACGTTCCCTACTTCTTCCTGGCCTGAAAGGTTCTTGCTGAAAAGGGAGAGGGAAAGGACAGAAAGGAAACTGCTGGACTGTAAGTTCAGATCTTCAGTACTGATAACCCTCCTATCCCCCAAAGCCAGCAATACATATTAGTCCTGGACAGACATGCCTTTTTATGACTTATTCCACTATCTCTTAATTTCTCAGGCTCTGCCGCTTTGCTGTTCAGCAAGAAATTCTTAACTACTGCATGCTGAGTAACAATTTCTTCTTTGCTCCATAAAAACAAACTTAAAAAAAATTCCTCTGTCACACTTCAACCTAAGCCTGAGAACAAATCAACAGTGCTTCACCCTTGCCATTCCCACAGCTACACCGGGAAAATGCAGTCTCAATAAATTAATTTGGTTGACTATAATTACAAAAGCACCTTGAGAAAAGTTGTTCTCCATTACTAAAAACTAAACAGTGAAACCAGTAGATGACAGAGTCCACTGAAACCACTTCCACAAATCAGAAACTTACTTGAGAAACTGGTGTCTGATTGCCAGGCTGAGTCATAGGCAGGCTCGCTGTGTTCATTCCCGGGGAAGAAGCAGGGAACTGGGTCTGTTGTAGAAACTGATTCTGACCAGAAGGCTGGCCAACTCCTGGTTGCTGCATACGTGAAGGAAATCCCATCTGTTGGAAAAGAAAATAACTCATTTCACACAATGTGCATATACCTCCATAACATTTTACAAAAATCCATTTATCTTGCTGCAGAAATCGATGCTTGCCGCTTATCTGTAGGATACAATATGGAAAGCCTGCTTATAGTTCCTCTCAAAAGACAGAAGTTATGATGATTTCTCTTGTAAGCTAAGGAAAAAGATATTGATTTCAGATTGGGACTGTGACTTAAGATTTATTTTTGTTCCTTGTTTTAAGGATGGAACAGCATAAAAAGCCACTTAAACCTTTATTTTTAGGCAATCTTTACCACCAAGCTCTAAAGGCTTACCATAGACCAGACAAATCTTTCAGTGGATATGCAAAAGGAAGAACCAAAGGGTCAAGAGAATGAAGAAGTAATGCTTGATTTTGTAAATTTCTTTTATTTATTTTTAAGGAAAACACAGCTAACAGAAGCAAACTTGAGAGCTCAACACCCTGGACGAAACCCACACTGACCTGGTTCATGGCCCCAGACTGGCTTAGCTGTCCAGGGTGCTGAAGAGGAGGGGTTTGCCGGGGTCCCATTGGTGACAGCTGCATGTTCATCTGGCCAAACTGATTCATCCCTGTGTGTTTGTACCAAAAAAACACTTATAAGCAAAGGTCTGAATTCTCCTTTGGGCACCATTCAACATTTGGAGAGGAAATGCTAACACTTTCTTCCCAACTGCATTTTCTAGCTATCAGTTTTCAAGTATGCAATACTATAAAGCAAGTATTTCCTTCTATTAACCACTTACACAGAATAATTTAAAATATAACATGTCCAAGCTATCATACTCCTTCAGAATACAAACTAGGTTTTTTTCCCCTGAAAGACTTTCTTCCACTAACTGTTATCAAAGCTCTGAAGTCTGAGGACTACTGAAGCACACGATAAATAACCAAAAGTGTCACATCTACTGCTGAAGATCAACTTTCTACAGAAAGCTGCATTATCTTAATTGCATATTAGAAATTCACTTCCTAAATCCCAAACAGTATCTTCACTTCCTTAAGTACTTTGTATGTTGGTCACAATACTTCTTGAATATATAACAAAGGTTCTGTTCCTTCTGAGCAGTAATTCTCACCATCTTCCCTCTGCCACCAGTATGTCCTCATCTAAGCTGGCTAGGCCTACGTTTGACTGACCCCACCGTCCTATGTTCATATGATCTGAAGTTCCAAAAGCATCAAGTTCCGTATTTAACAAAGCAAGCAGCTAACAAAGCAAGCTCTTAAATTCACAAGATCATGCTACTAGAGAGAGATATACAGTTATGCAAGTATTATACAATATAGCTATTTTCTTAATCAAACGGGAAAACTGCAGGTGAAACAAGGGCTATGACACTTCAGCAAGAGCTGCCCAATTCCAAGACTCCTTCAAAATCAAAGTAGGAAATTTTCTTCAAAAATTTACCTGGCTGCGCCTGCATGCGATTCATCATCTGGTTTGGCACATTGGCACGTATCAGGGTTGGGTCGGGAAGAGGACCATCTGGAAAAAAAGATACTGTAATAAGATTATAGCATTTAGAAGATCACCAGGCTTTACCCACCGAACATTTTAGGGAGAATTACATGAGAATTAAGGTGTCTCAAGAACTCCATTTCTTAACTGTAAAGTATCTAAGAACATGCAAGACAAAGAATCAAGGGGGGAAAAAATCTTTTAGAATCACTCAATCATAGTGGTTGGAAAAGACCTTTAAGCCGAACCATGAACCTAACACTACCAAATCCACCTCTAAACCATGTCCCTAAGCACCTCATCTACCTGTCTTTTAAATATCACCAGGGAAGATGGCTCCAACACCTCCCTGGGCAGCCTGATCCAATGCTTAACCACCTTTTAAGTGAAAAAGTTTTTCCTAACATCCAATCCAAACCTCCCCTAACACAACTTGAGGCTGTTTCCTCTCGTTCTATCGCCTGTTATCTGGGAGAAGAGATTAATTCCCAGCTCTCTACAACCTCCTTTCAGGTAGTTGTAGAGAGCAGCAAAAAGGTCTCCCCCCTCAGCCTCCTCTTCTCCAGACAAAACAACCTCAGCTCCCTCAGCCGCTCCTCATAAGACTTGTTCTCCAGGCCTTTCACCAGCTTCGTTGCCCTTCTTTGGGCCCGCTCCAGCACCTCAACGTCTCTCTTGTAGTAAGAGGCCCAAAACTGAACACAGTACTTGAGATGTGGCCTCTCGAGAGCCGAGTACAGGAGGAGGATCGTTTCCTTAGGCCTGCTGGCAACGCTATTTTTGATTTTCTTCTGAGAAGGAAACTCTCGGGAGAGAGTGCCATGTGAGGGGGAAGGGCAGTGCTCTAGAAAGTACATATTCACAACTGTTGCACTTAATTTTAAGAGAGACTACTTCAGTCTCCAGAGCTGTCAGTCTAGAATCACAGAGGGGAAAAAAAATGCAATTTTATTTAGAAATGTACAGTTCAAAATCCTGTATTTCAATTATTTACAGGACTTAACTGGAAAAACAAGATTACAATGTCGGCTGGAAACACAAGATTATAATGTCAGCAGATGCTTCTCTCCACTTTCTAACTGGAAATATCACCCATGGTAATTTGTGATACCTGTTTTTTATCTGTTACCCAAAGAAAAATACACTAGATACTTGACAGTCTACAGCGCCTTGTCCCTTCCTAATGTTGTAAAAAGACATTACACTCTTTAATAGCATGATAGTTTTGATTATTAACTCCTCTCCAAAGTCAATTTTATTCTAATATACAAATGCATGGCTAGCAAGAATCTAATAATAACGATAATCTGTTTAGCATTAGGAAGGTCAATTCAAGTAACAGAACTACTGTGAAATAGAAGACAGCTGCAAGGGGAAAAAAGTGAAATCTGCTTTCCATTGCATGTTGGAAAGGCCATTTGTCTGAAAAAAATGTGGCATAGAACAAGTACTATCTAAACTTTCAGAGGCATAAATACCTGTGCACTCCAATCATCATACTTTTTGCTTAGCAAAAACAGCAATACTGATCATCATTTAAAACACCACACAGTTAAGTATTATGAAAAAATAATTCTCTTATTAATTCTAGAGATGAATCTAATGACGCAGAAGTTCTACAAACTTAAGGATGTAAATCAATCTCCATTCCCTCCACCCTCAAAGTAAGTGCAAAGGTTTACAATATTTCAATCTGTTCAGAAGACTAGATGCTTTTAGATAATCTATGGTCATTAATTAATACATAAGCAAGGCAAAGATATTACAAGTACTTCTGAATAAAGAGAAGAAAGTTCTGCTTAAAATCTGAGAAAGAAACAACAAGGGGAAAATGGTCAGCCTGACCATGATGACCATGGCAGTAGAG